AGTAGAATTGTTGCTTGCTAAAAGTAAAGCAGACGTACTTGAAGCACACAATTATGTCCATGGCCTGCCATTTCTTGTTGGCGAATACTTTGATGAGTGCAGCTCCAGTTGCTACGAGTTACATGAATATTGCATGGATCAAACGTCAGCATGTCATCATGCTTTGCTAGTCCACTACAATAGAGATCATTTCCGACACGATGCTGGTTCCATCAATGTGAGTTTCGAGGACTTACATCTCTTCTTCAACTTCAACATGCTCGATGCCACTCTTGTTAGATGCCTGATTTTGTAAGTACTTAACAAATTCTGATCAACTTCTCCATACAAAGCTGTAAATGATAAACAACTAACTGCATTTTATTCCTCTCAGGGGATTAAACACGCGGAGAAGAATAAGGGAGAGTGTGTATTTCATAGATCCTGGATTAGCAAATGACACAACATTAGATGGTAAGGACCAACGGGACTGGGCCGTTAACACGGTCCTCCGTATCTTCGAAAACACGTCCCATGCAGAATCATTTCTCTGGCCATATCATGAACGGTAAGTCAAGTAAACAACCACGCATACACTTATTGTCTTTCAGATTTCGACATCATTCATAAGTTCATGGCTTTCTTAATATGTACCAATCACTGGATATTGGTATTCACTGTTCCAAACAAGAACACAGTTTACTACATCAATTCTCTCAGAGAGTCAACAAACGCTCAGGAACTAACGCATGTTCAACAATTCTTGGATAGGTATTGAATTCTATGATGTTGAAATTAATTTGCATTCATATATGGTTCAATAATTGATGTTGTCAAAATTCATCATCATTTGCAGTGTGCTCGCATTGTGGAAAACTAAACCAGGGAACCTGTTCAAGACGGAACAACCCGTGCAACACGGGGTCGTTTCTCCGGTAACACACCCGAAATTCATTATTTTCGGAAAATTTATCCAACAGTCTGCAAATACCTTTCTTTACGCTAGTCAAATGTTCAAGCTTCTAAATAAACCTCTTTCTATTTTGTCCAAAGAAAAAATAATACATCTAACACGGGTTAGGTTGTTCCTAACAGGACAAATACATGACTAATTTTGTATAAAAAATTTCAGTGTCCTCAGCAATAAGCAGGGACCAACCTTTGTGGATACTATGTTTGCAGACACATGATCTCCATCTGCAAATCTGCTGATAGTTGTGATGATCCTCGCAAATTAGTACCAGTAAGTCTATCTTAATTAATATCTTCTACTTCACTCATATGGCACATTCTGATCTTAAAAATACTGCAGCTCATCTTAAAACCGAGGACCCCTGAACCGCTCCCGGCTGGTGAATTGCTGATAGTTCGGAGATTTATTAGCGACTTCTTCCTGGATCACTACATCAATACCACTGGTAATAATGAAGATTTCAGCATGCGTTCTCCTGAAACATTGAGTAAGAGTTAACCACTAAACATATAATGCATGTCTCCATTATTTTCCATCTGATGAGGTCTTCGTATTTCATACACTATGATTAATTATGTAATTCATATATGCGTGGACAAATCATTAGAATTTAGCTACCATATGTTCAATTGCAATTGTTGCAAAATCTAATGAATGTTCTTTCTGTGGACACTATTTGTTCAATTGAATATTGTGGTGAATTTTCTTTTTGCGTGCCAATTCAAAATGAGATATTTTTTAATTTGTTCAATTGAATATTGTGGCAAATTTGCTTTTTGCGTGCCGATTCAAAATGGGATATTTTTGTTTTAACCTGGCAATTGCTCCGCACACGGTTCAACTAAATGAGTGTGTGCGATCCACATCGGAAAGCATACGTCAATCGTAGCGGCACCATTGCTGATACACAGCAGATCACAAACGATTTGCAGCGATACTACGTGTGTGTAGGTTCTCTGGAACCGTTTGTGATATCGTGTTATCCCACACGAGAACTGGGAGTAAACCATACCCTATGCAAAATACAATCCCAGTCGTAATTTTTTCAGGAAACGTGCGGGATCCCAAACGAAAAGCACACGTCACTCTTGCGCCAACCGTCGGTGATACCTAACAAATCACAAATGGTCTGCAGCACTTGAATGTGTGCGAAGGGGATCCTGAACCGTTTGTGATAGAACATTATCGCAGACGGTAATTATTGGAAAACGTGTGCGATGGAGTCTAGCATGGCAAGCGGGTTACGCAGAAAACTCGTGTGCGATGGGGCACAAATCGCACACAGTTCATATGTTGGCCCGTGTGCCTTACATACTGTTTCCCAAACGGTTCGTTACGACAGACCGTATGGTTTCACTGCGTCATTAGAAACGCTTAGTCACCGATACCACACGTGCGAAAGAATTTAGTGTGTGTTGCATCACACACGATTACATTTTGGAAGGCTTCTGGATCACTGCTCCATATCCCCAACGGTTTCTGGGTTGTGTGGGAAGGACCCCCTCCTATCGCCCACACTCACTTGGCGACGGTTCCAAATGTTGTCGCGGAAAGGGGTTAAAAACTGTTTGTTTAGGACCGAAGCGCACCAATGATGTGTTACCAAAATTCCTTCCCTTTGAGAGGAAGTACGTCTCCGTTGGAGCGGTGTGGAAGCACAATGCTCCCCAAGAAGCCACTAGGGCCACCATATTCTCCTCACGCCCTCACACAATGCGAGATGTCGTGATTCCACTATTGGTGCCCTTGGAGGCGGCGATGGAACCTTTACAAACAAGGTTGGGGCAATCTTCACAACTTAATTGGAGGCTCCCAATGACACCATGAAGCTTCACCTCAATGGAATATGGCTCCGCGGTGACCTCAACCGTCTAGGGTGCTCAAACACCCAAGAGTAACAAGATCTGCAAGGGATTAGTGGGGGGAATGAAATTTTTCTTGGTGGAAGTGTAGATCGGGGCCTTCTCAACCAATCCCTAGAGAATCAACAAGTTTGATTGGCTAGGGAGAGAGATCGGGCGAAAATGGAGCTTTGAGCAACAATGGAGCTTGGAAGGGAAGAGGTCAACCTAAGAAGGAAGAAGACCCCCCATTATATAGGGGAGCAAAAATCCAACCATGTTCTGCCCAGCCCGCAGCTAAGCGATACTAGCGCTGCTAGGAGCGGTACTACCGCTTAGGCGGTACAACTCCGCATAGGCCTAAGACTACACATAGTGTAGCTACGGTAGTGCCGCTAGAGCGGTAGTACCGCTGACCCAAGTAGTACTACCGCTTCGGGTCTTAGTCCTAGAGAGGCAGCGGTAGTAGAGGGTGCCAGGGGCAGCAGTAGCGTGCCAAGCGGTACTACCATCCTAGTGCCGCTCTACTTCCGCTTGAGACAAAGCGGGAACATAACCTTGCACACGAGAACACCCCGCAAGCGGTAGTGGAAGCACTAGTGCGGGCTATAGTACCGCCGAAGCGGTACTACTGCCCTACTACCGTGAGTGACAAATAGGCAACCCAAAGTTGCATGCTCGGGGGAAGCCCTAAGAGGTAGTACCACGGAAGTACCAGCAGTACTACCGCATAAACGGTACAACCGTAGGTACGGGCAGTACTACCGCTGACAAGATGCTGGAAACACCTCAACAAACATAGGAAAGGCTCCAATGATGGGAAGGAGGCAGTGAGTGCATATGGGGATGTGTACGTGTTTATTCCACCCATACCTTTCCGAAGCGGATCCCTCTTAATAGTACGGCTTTCCTACGACTCAAACCCACCGAAAAGAAACGTAGAAAAACCGCCGTCTTTGAAAGGCTCCGAGGGGTGTCGAATCGTCTAGTGCCTAGCCAAGAGATATTTGAAATGCTCAATGCACATGATTAGTCCGCAAATGCATTGCCATCAATCACCAAAACCACTTAGGGAGAAATATGCCCTTATAGTGGCTCCATGGCCCTGCCCATTAAAGGCATGTGCACGAAAAATTTCCAACTGACATCGACAAGGTCAGACCCACTCCATAGGAGCGATGCTGGCAACCTAGCGATGATATTTGTCGTTTGGTGGTCCAGCATACCTAGCGATAAGTCGGGCCAGATCGGGCCTATATAAGCCCACAACAGAAAACCTAGGCCCGGGCCTGTCCTGGGCCGGCCTTTGGGCCTAGATTTCAGGCCCAAGCCCAACCCAACAAAGGATAAGCCTGTCAGGCCTTGGGCCGGTCCTCTTCCCTAAAACACACAAATGCAAAGCCCAAGCCCAGCCCAACCTGGCCTTTGGGCTCAAACTTAGGCCTAGGCCTGTCTCGTGGGCAAGACCAGGCCGGGACGTATTGGGCTATTTCGGGCCGAGTCGGGTTTCCTATTGCCAGGTATATGGTCCAGGGACCTCAATGTAACTTTATCATGTTTGAGATGCTTTGTAGTTTTGGTGAACTTCTATAATATATTTGGTTCATTTTCGCAAAAAAGATTACCTATATTCTGCCTCAATTTTATTATGTGGGCGGAATTGACTTCTAAATATGCAAGAGTAATCACTATGTCATTGCCTCTGTGTTTTTTGTTGGCATTTTGGCAAAATTTGGCTTCAAACGAAAGATTTTTTGGGTTGACGACCATCTTTCTACTTGCGTTTGAATGATTAAGGTGGAAGATTTTTTAGGGTAGATTAGGGTGAAGATGTTGCCGCATGACACTATTAAGTAGAAATGGTCCATCTAAGCCCAAGCCGAAGCAGTGAAATCATGGGTTGTTGCCACTCTCTGTCACGCACGGGACGGGAGACGCTAGCACATAGTGTCACTAACATGAGGTAATCAGCCCACTGGTGTAAGGTGGTACCACTACATAGTAGCGTTATTTAGTCTTTAGTGACCAACATAATATCACTTCTTGCAATGATCACATATAAAGGAACACTTTCATGAAATAATTTTTTTCTGGCCATGAGTGTGTCGTATAAAACTAGTCCATCACTTGAAAAATAGTTGCTTCATGTCAAGACTTTTATTGTACATGGAAAACCCCAATGAACCGAACATGACAAATATGGCACATCACAAAGGCTTATTATCCAGCCAGCGTTGAGCCATGGCAAGACTTTCCCTAGGTGGATATTCTATGGCTGAGTGCCCACCACCCTGTGTAAGCAATTAAACAATAATTATTGCAGCATCACATTGTTTCTTCTATCCAATCCTAGCAATAACTTTATATCATGGAATGGAAAATACAAGATAATGTACCTTTAATGTCGCAAATGTCATATGGTTGGCGTATGTGATTGCAAATCTACACCAAAGACAACATAACAAATAAATAAATAAAATTGAAATATCAAGCATGTACATCTTTTCACAAATTCATTTGCTCTATTGATGTGAATATTTTTTGGTCTATGTTAAAACTACTCTACATCCTAGTGTGGGGGGCACCAAACTAAATAGAAATATTAGATTAATGCTCTAATGAATGATAATACTTATATACATAGACAAATTTACCCTCCCGCCTGACCACCGAGATGCCATGCTCTCCAATCATCAACTATCGAGAAGTTGAAGGATCTAATCCATGCATGTGTGCTCAAAAATGGAATCCAAATATCATGGTCCCCGCTGCATTTAGAGGTCATTATTTCAAGACATTGATCAATTTTCAATCAACACATATAAATACCAAGCAGAGAAAAATCACACCTAAACACAAGTGCGCGATAGCCTCTGGTTGTGAGGTTGAAATGGTACTCTATGCTGCTCGGGGCATCAAATGAATAGGGCATACTTTTTTTGCATCTCTTAAACTCTCCAATTGTTCCCTAGATGGATGCAAAGAGTCAATGAGTCAACAACGATTGGATGTTTGGAAATCCTACAACAGTTATCTATGAAAAGGTTAAGGTGGTTCTCAGATCTCTACTCTCGATAGGTGAAGTTTCCGTATTGTCAAAGCATCATTTATTTTTATGGGTCCGAACTAGAACGATGTGAAATAAATATATTACTCAATTCTAGGACAATTTAGTCAATGTTGCTACTTGAATTGCGCCGAAAGTATTGCATTCCTGCTCAAGCTAATTCATCCACAAGTTCGAATTGATGGAGAGAGGAGGACAATATATTTCAATACCCCCTCACATTTATGATAGACTTTTTATACTTTGGTCATGGGATCAATGTAGGCCACATAATATACTTTTTAATACCGTGTTGGTAGGGTCTTGAACTTGAGACCCATTGGCTCCGATACAATATTTAATTCATGCTACATCCAATTTATCCAAAAGTCCAACCTGATGTTCAGAGACACTACAACAAAATAGACATGTAGAGATGTTTTTGATTTGACGCTTTTATCTATGTCTCATTATTGAAAATCACTTGGCGTATAGAGACGTATTGTGAGGCGCAAAAGACATCGTCCCTTGATTCCCATAAAAAAAATCTAGACGCGTTAAAATATCTTGTTCAACCACCATCAACCTTTATCCCCCATCGTGCGATATGGGCTAAGAAAATAACTACCGTGAAAAAAGAGAGCGATCTCAGTGACCTCTAAACCTAGCGCCGCCATGCCAGGCCGCCGCCTCTTCCAAGATCCTGGTCCTCCCCACCACAGACTCGCTGTCGCAAGTCCACCCACCCACCGCCCTCCCTGCCTCCCCTCTCGCTCGCCAGCCTCCAGCAATAGCCTCGGGGTCTCAGGGACGCCAGCTTCTAGGCGGCGCCCAGCCCCACTCCGGCCGCCTCTACCGATAGCTCCGGCACACGGTGCGCTGCGGCTGAAAGGGAAGATGACGGATGGCGGGGTCGGCACAGAACTGCACATCCCCAACTCCTCCTACTGAGTACTGACTCACCCCCGCCCCCAAGTTTTGCACTCCTGGTCGACCACCACCATTAATGAGACATGGTACTGATCAGCTAGGCGCTCGTTTGTTTGTATGTACACTGTCGGTGTCGATCAGACTTTGATTGAGATTCATCTTTCTGCACTACAACAATGTTATCACAGACATCTTAATTAGTTTATGTGATTCCCGGCACAGGGGGAGCTCTCGGTAGGGCGAGGACGGGCGCCCGCCCTACCTTGATTTGCCGGGGCAGAAAATTACGTATAGGTATATTTATGGGTACTCGCTCTGATTCGTCGATAGTTCCTGAAAAAATCGTTGTCTTGTTGGATCCTGAGTCAGTGAGCAGCGATTCTGTCCTCTCCAATGTTCCAGCCGTCCAACATAGCAGGAAGCCAGCCGGAGCTTACCTAGCAGCACGGAGCGGCACGCGGAGCCGGCGGACGGCTGCGGTCTGTGTGCGGGCCGGTGGACAGCAAGAGCAGCGAGGGCGGCGGCCGGCTGGAGCGGCGAGGGCGGCGGTCAGCGTCCACACCCCGCCTGCAGCCCCCTCATCGACTCTGTTCTTTTTCCATCCATGTTCTGTTTTCTCTTTTTCTACTCGTGTGTGCACTAGTGGCTGGAGATTCATAACATATTGACGAATTTTTCTAATTAAAAACAGTGAGAATGTGTGATATGTGATAGTAATTACTCAGTGCTTTACATTCATTTTTGTATGTGCTTTATGCTCTGTGATAGAAATTTTTCTTAATATTGATGACAAATTGACAATTGCTGATTAAAAACAGTGAGTGTGGGTGGTGCAGCGGCGTTGCCAACTTTGTGGGCGAAGGGAAAACATGGATATGAAGGGGAAGGCCTAGCAAAGGCAAAGGGGAGGTGTGTAATTTTTTTTATTTTAGTGGCATTTTCAGCTAAAAGTATTTGTGTGCACTACCATTGTCTTTTGATTTTGATTTTTGTGCTTTAGAGTTCGCCCCACCTCAGAAAAAATTCGTCCTCCGCCACTGATCCTCAGGGAAAAAATGTCCGCCCCGGTGAACTGCCACCCTCTCTGTCTCTGAGAACCCTTCGTCTTGCAACCAAAATTCATCCATGCGTCGTCTGCCATGTGAAGCTTGTTGCCATCAGGTAGACTGACCTCGTGCCCGCCACTATCGACCAGCGGGAAGCTAGCGAGTGATTTGGGGAACATAAGTGACTTGCGCGAGCGCACAAGGCAGCCAATTCATCTATAGGTGAGTTGATCTACTTCTTTTAGTTTTAGTTGTTGTTCTATGAATTCATTCCAAGTAAAAAATTAGAGCCCCTGCCTTGATGCGTACTTAATTGTGGAGGAGAATCTTGACATCACATTTACTTTAGGTTATCTCTATTACAATATGGGACAACAATACTTTGTCTTTTTTTCTGAACTCTCATATTTTTACTGACTAAACTACTAGTTCAACTTAAAGTCGATCTTACACTTGTTTGCTCCCAAATTATTGGTACACACGAATGTTGGTGCTTGATAAAAAGCCTGTGAGAATATCCGGATAGAATAAGGTGATCAGTGTTATTAACGAATTTTTCTTTTTCATGCAATTAATAATGCTCGTGTATCAACTATCAAATCACCTTCATTTTCCCCCATAACTGATTATAAGAACTTTGTGCCCACGTTCTAATATTTTTTTGAATAAACATGCCTTGTACTATAAGAGGGAGAGATCAACTCATACATGTGGTTTCTCATCTGCAGAAACTTTTCTGATGTTGTCTGATAAAGAGCACCGTGGATGGATATATTATCATTTTTGGTAAAATCTAATCATATGTGATTATGTGAAACATCTGGATTAGATGCGTTGCACTATGTCTGAAGCAGCAAAATGGCATCATGCTCGCTTTTGTGTTCGACTGAAGAGTATTAATGTGAACTAGCATGAGAATTCAGTTTTTTATGGTAAATGTCGTCTTATAGTCTTATGTGGAGATAGTATTAAGGCTTGGACATTATTAGTGTCGCAACCATGAAAGTTCAGTCCCCGTATGTTAACCTGATGTTATTTCTTTACATATTTTTTGTAAGGTATATCCATCAACAACAACATGATGTTTCTTCCTTTTACAGTATACGTATCTATCTTCGTATGGTAACATGACATCAACCAGACTAGACTAAACTTCTGGAGGGCATGTTTACTCGGTGTGGTACATAAATACCATTCTCTATTCTTATGGTTGTATGTTCAGCAAAGGAGAACTCGCTGGTAGAAGTTCCAATGATTTTTTTTTTCAAATCTCATTTTGCTTTCTTTGCAGAAAACTTGTACGTGCGAATTCTAAAGGTAGCCACCACAAGGATAAACTACAGAAGTAGAGAAAGCAAGGAGCTATTATTCCACTATCAGCATGTACAAACTAGAAATCATATACTCCCTCTGTTCCTAAATATAAGTCTTTTTAGAGATTTCGATGTGAACTATACACGGAGCAAAATCAGTGAATATATGCTCTAAAGTACATCTATATACATTAGTATGTAGTCTCAATTAAAATATGTAAAAAAGACTTATCTTCAGAAACGGAGGGAGTAGATATATTTCAGCTAGTTTGTGAAATATGTAATTTTTTTATTGATGATGTGTACAATTGAGTTTGTAAAATACTACTGCTCTAATTAATACAATGCTATTATTTTGCGCGATACCATACATTTTTTGAATATTTTCTGATATGTAAATGGGAGTCAAACTGTTTAATATAAGAAAGTAATTTTATTAAGTGCAACTTAATTAAGAAATTATACAACGAAAGAGAATATATGCAGTTGCATTTAGCATGAATTTAGCAATGCGTCTCTAAGGGCAGGAGGACGCTCTTAAAACGTCTCATCCATGTAGACACGCTTTGTAAGGACGGTCTTAAAACGTCTCATTTTCCTGTAGACACGCTCCCTATGCGTCTCAATGGTATTTGAGACGGTGCGTGGGGAGACGCTCCAAAGACGCTTTAATGAGCGACTCTAAAATCTGCTAGAGATGATTTATTGCGCCTCTAGCACCTACATTGAGCGCCTCTACATGCCTATTTTGTTGTAGTGAGATGAACACTATATTTCAACAGAAAGGCCCGATAAACCAGCATTCGACATGACCGTTGGACTACCATACACATGGCAAAAGCTAACAAGGACTAAGATTGTCAAATCCGATAAGAGATGTGCCACACTACTAGTAGTTGCATTAATTAATTCATTCAAATGACATGATATGGACGCAAAGCAAATTAAATATGCCATATGCTAACTACTTAATCATGTATATATAGTTTCCCGAGCTAGTACAAAGGGAAAATATGTTATATGGTTGGTACCTGCTTCACCCCAAGAGCATATTTGGTGGAGTCCATGTTCGCCCAAATATCAGATAGGTAGTAACAATATGCCCACGTATGAGAATGCAATTGTACACAAAGTTTACATCACATAAATATAGAAACATAATTCTAACCGAACTAAAGAACACTTCTATGAAGTTACTAGTTTAGGGTAAGTACTAGAGTAACCTACATTACAATTGATGGCAGGTTGTTCGGTAGATAGCTCACTTTGCTGGGTGTATTCTTCTGACAGAAATCTACGTCTTAACAGATCGTGTTCACATTTGATACCCAGGATGTGTTCTTTTTCAATTTCAGAAATGAGCTGCAATTAATACATGGACCGATATAATATACACAAATCAAATGGTAGCTTGTATAAGTATGTTTTTGAGCCTAGTAAGGATCTTACATCTTCAATAGTATTTAGGACCATGGCACACATTTTATTCCTTGGTCTTATATAGTTCCCTTTACAGTTCCTCATTGCCGCCTTTGAAAAAGGAGAAGGAAAAAAATGTTACCACTTCAATCGCTGAATGTGTGTGAATGTGGAATTA